TGTCCTGAGTCTGACCAAAAAAGAAAAGTTGATAATTGTCTAATTAGCCTGAACTACACGGCTAAATTGACAAAAAAATGGTAAACCTCAACTTTCTCAGTGTAGATTTGTGTGCACTTCAAAACATTGATTTATAACACTATAAATTGGAATTGGTATTTCTTTTACATTTCAGTTTATAGATTTAGCAGATCTCCAGGTCGGGCGGGAGCACTTTTAGCTTAGCGGAACTAATCAGCTAAATGGATTATAAAAATTGTAGATTTGTGTGTACTACAGTTTATAACACTATAAATAATTAAAAAACACTAGGAATAAGGAAATACGGTAACATTTACAGTACTTAAAAATTTTGAATTTCTTTTAGGTTTCTACCCTATTTTACAAGTAAAATTACAGAAATAAAACCACTGATAATCAATACAGATATTACAGATTTATTTTTAACACAACACTAACCTAGACACTTTCATCAAAAAAACACATAGAAACAAATTACAAAGAAGCATTTAGTTACACACTGAGTTTGTGTTTTTTGGAAAGCAAACAAAAAAAATCTTTAATTTCATTTACATCCTCAAAAAAATCTTTTAAAATAATTTTTTCTCTAAATTTAAGTCTAGTTCCTTGGCCTTTTGCGAAGATCACTATAACAAAGAGTCTATGTGAATGTGCGTTTATCCGTGTATGTGTGTGTGTGTGTGTGTGTGTGTGTGGACGTGCTTGCTGACCCAGCACACTGCAAGTTAGTGACCACGGCCAGCGCATGTCATCTTTTATTCCTGGCCTGGTGTAAATTGATCACTCTGAGTCTACAGCATAACGGATCTTGGCTTTGTGATACTAGCGCTCTTTCCCTTTTTTCAATCACCTCCATCTGCCAGTACTCTGTCTGTTTATCCATCCATCCATCTATATAGACACATAAAATGTCATCAATAAATCTTCTATGGAGAAAGTAATGACTGATGTCAAGCAGAATGCATGCTGATTGGCCGATGTTTTTGTGGGCGCCATGTGGTGTCGAGTTTCTATGTATATCCCACTATATCTGAATGGTCTCTGTGCCATGACCCTGTGGAGCTATTTTTGACAGGCTTGACTGTGCGACGTTGGCAGATTTTTAAACAGTGTCCAGCATTAGTGCTTCACCTGCAGGTAACTGACACTCGCAGCCACTGATCAATACATCCGTACGTATCAAAGAGAAAGATTGGGGCCAGCAGCATGAGGAAGTGTTGGTGAATAAAACACGCCAACAAAAGCAAGTGATTTGCATTTCCAAACCCTGGCTAAAAATAGTCTGTAATAATGTGTCCCAATGTTTGACCAAATAAAAGGCTGGAACAGAACCTTTTTGCTCATGTACAGCAAACTTAAAGTATATTTGCATCATCAGCAGGAAATACTAGTGCTTGGAAAGCAACAAAGGAATAGTTTTAAAGTTTGAAGTAGAATATAGTTAGAAACAAAGTGCACCTAAACATAAAGGGAAATAAAGAAAACAAAGTGTAATTACATATTAGAGATGGTTTTAAATAATGAATTTCTTATTTGCCAAATAAGACATAATCAGAATTTATGGGTCATTTAAACATTATTTCTGTATCCAAAATCGCCACTAATACAGTCATTCAATATTCCCTACATTATTTCACTTAACCAGTTAAACTCTGCTGTTATTTTGGGATCTCCGCCTGGATTTTTCCTACCCAAATTTAAAAGCTTCCCGAATCCACATGCAGAGGTGTAAATGCAAAAATTTAGTATAATTTTGAAGAAAACCCTTGAAATGTTCATAAAACACTATTGAAAGTGTTTAAAATAACTGTATATGTTGTCTGTGTTATATTAAGTGAAGTTTATTCATAATGAATCCCCCCTTCCACCCGTACCTTTTCAGCTTTCCCTCCTTAGAGCAGCATGGTGGCCCAGTGACTAGCACTGTCGCCTCACAGCAAGAACCTCACTGGTTCTAGTCCTCTAACAGGCCGGTGGTCGTTTCTGTGTGTAGTTTGCATGTTCTTCCTGTGCTTGCGTGGGTTTCCCCAAGTCCTCAGGTTTCCTCCCACATTCCAAAAATATGCACAAGTAAATTGATAAATCTAAATTTTGCAATACAGGTAATCTCATAATGCAGCATATCTTTTAATAGCATTCAATTTTTAGTCATCAGCTCTTATCAAGGGGGAGTTGTCAAGATCTACCTGCGCTCAAGGCTCCCATCTCTTCCTGCAAACGGGAGGGAGCCCAGGGCTCAAGTACCTTCAAGCTCAGGGCTCTCTCCCGGGACAGCATGCCAAACTTGCTTGTAATCAATCATCAGCTAAGTGTAAACTCTTGAACCACCTAAAAAAAGAGGTGCTTTTTGTATTTTTTTATGAACTCAAATTTGAAAGTGTACCTTTTAGGTTCTATGTGGTCTAGCGTGCTGTGATTAATTTTGGTGGTTCCTGCACATGTCTATAATCATAGGAAAAGAGAAAAATGTCTCTACCATAATTTATGCAAAAGTTATTGTATTTCATCTGATGAGAGGTGCTATACAAGCCACAGGGACCGATCATTGTTTTCATATTTCACTATTTTTTTGTTTGATCAAACATAATTCACTGTGTTTGGACCACTTTAGACAAATAAAAGGAATACTTTTGCACATCACCTCAAAAACAGAGGAGAAATGGCGCTAAAGCACACAGCATAAGGTAAGAGATGACAGCTGTCTGTGCTATCTGGGGCTGCTTAGTGATCATAAATGTATTGTTTTCACGTCTGCGCCATAGAAACACCACAATTCACTCGGCAACTGTTTTTATATGTAAATATAATTCTGTAAAAAGAATGCTAGAACTGTATGATAAAATCAGATTTTTACAAGTTTTACAAGATTTTCTGCTCAAAAAACTTAGCAGATCAATTATTACAGGGATTCTCAATCGGTGGGCCTTAGCGATCCTGCAGATGGGCTGCAAGATTAAAATGAACTCTCAATAATATACAATCATTTTTGGATTTCATTATAATATGCTATATTAAAATGATTAAGGTAATGCACTTTATCGTGCTCACTGATTGATTACTTCAAACTCGCTCAAAAAAAACTGCCTCATGATTGCGTCTGCTTCTATTACAACATGTCTGTTCATTCACAAACTATGCGTGAAGTGAAAGTATCTCTGTGTATTTTTGTGTGATCTATTAAATATATCCGCATAGTTGTCCAAATTAATGTCCTGTAAGTGTTTTATAATGGACGTGTGCCCATACAGGAGGATCTAGTGAGGCTCAATGGTTTTTCTGCCATAGAATGTAAAATAAACTTGCATATGAGCTTCAGACATGCTCTGATGGAGCTGTTCACTGTTTCTGTCAGCGATCTCTCAACAATATCCAGCTGCAAACTCAACTGTCATCAGATCGACGTGCTTCAACAGATTTAGGCTGGTTTACTGCATTTTTACATTTGTCTGTATTGAATAATAGATGTTTAATAGTAGATATTCAGTCAGTCCAGTCTTTTGCAAAATCCCTTTTGATCTGTGGTTCTCTTTGAATCTGTGTATATTTAAATATATATATATATATATATATATATATATATATATATATATATATATATATATATATATGTATGATATATTTTTTATTTTATATATGATTCAATTTAAATCAATAAAATATATTTTTTTATAAAATGCTAATAATAGAACTGATAACAGAAAGCACAACAAAAGCCATTTCCAGCAAAAATTAGCTAATAACATTGAGTGAGTGCTTTAGGCACGTAGTACATGTTCAACAAAAAGTTTTGTTTAAAATCATCTAAAACCCAGTGGCAGCGCATCCACAAATAACAGTTGTTTGCAAAAGCCGCTAAACGCCACTTGCCTTTGACAGCAAAAGCCGCTATGTCTCAAAAACCAATCAGAAGGCAACAATCGAATCCCTGATTTATATGAATTGCTGAATATGTACATTTTGAATAAGATTACATTGGAGCTGTTTTGTTGCTTGTGCCTTTAAATCTATTTTACGGTGTTCACTTCATTACAAACACAAACTTATTTAAAAACCATTTTAACTTAAAACTCATTCTTGAGGTCCAGCTGATCACAGAGAGTTGGAACAGATCTTTTAATTCCAGTTTCTTTACAAATCCTGTTCTGTGGATATGTTTATTTGTGTTACTAAAGGAGACATGTTACGCTGCTGTCAATCAATTCAGTGGGAGGGGAAAACCGCACTTCTGTACATCATGCTGTGATGGGCCTCAAAATCACTGGAATTTGGATCCTATTTTAATGTCATGGAATTTTGAAAAAGAGACTTCTTGGGTTTATATAACTCCAATATAAATGTGGACACACAACACCAAGGGTGCCCAAACTCTATCCTGGAGGGCCGGTGTCCTGCAAAGTTTAGTTCCAGTCCCAATGAGACACACCTGGGCTAGCTAATCAAGCTCCAACTAGGCCTTCTAGAAACATACTTGCAGGTGTGTTGAGGCAAGTTGGATCAAAATATGCAGAGCACCGGACCTCTACGAGTGAGTTTGGACACCCCTGCACTTCTTTTGTTTGAGCAAAGCTTTTAAAACTTGATTTTGCATCATACAGTAGGTGCTCTTTAAACAAATGTAAATGAAGATTGTAAATGAACGTGCCCAGCATTCACGTTCATTCAAAACTCCCAAACATCTGGATTACTATCATAATGTCTGTATTTCACCTCATTGCGTAAGAATGTATTTTGAGAAAAAAGCCATTAAACATTTTTTTAAAACATTACTCAAAATACATAGCAACCCATAAAGCTGAAATAATCTACACAATAGCATTTGAATGGACCGCTAACTGAGTTGGAGCTGCAGAACAGTGTGCAGCAGAGAATAAAAATAAACACAATTTCAGAATCCAGTTTGATTACCTGGTATGTAATGAGGCTGGGAAGTGTGCTCTAATGTGTGCTGTAATGGTGCAATACTGATCTCTGTGTTGCAGGAGAGGAGGGCTCAGATTCGCATGCAGAGACTCCAGTCAGTGAAACAAGTGGAGAGGCCACTGCATGTCAAACCTGCGCCAACACAGTGCTCAAGGTGCTGGGGGGCTTGCTGCTGGTGCTGTGTGTCTCCTCGTCCTGGGTGGGCACCACACAGGTGGTCCAGCTTACTTTCAAATCGTTTTCCTGTCCCTTTTTCATCACATGGTTCAGCACCAACTGGAACATTCTATTCTTCCCCCTCTACTACTCCGGGCATGTGGCTACCACCAGAGAAAAACAGACACCCATTCAGAAATTCAGGTGAAGTTCAAATGAATGAATCAGGTGAATTAGGATGTGATATGATACCCTACAATGCTACAAGGATATGAGTATTTACTCATTTGTCTTTTATTAAACACTTTCCTCTAAAGTAACTTACTGTACAGGGATGTCAAAACCTGCTCCTGGGGAACTCTGTCCGACAAAGTTCAGCTTCTGCTGCAATTACACACCGAATCATGGTGTTCAAATTCATTACAAACTTCAGGCAAGCGTGATGTATCAAGCTGAAATCCAAGATGTTGGCCCTCAGAAACAGTATTGGACATTCCTGCTGTACTTCTCTAACAGAAACACGATGAACTCCAAACTGGATATACTGCCCTCTGAATGAAAAACTTTGGTGTGAAAGCTATCATCATCACCATATTTAGGTGGAGTTCCATACCCAAGTGCTCAAAATTGCCCACTTTGAAGCGCCTTTTCGGAATGAAAGATTTCAAAGGGAACAACTGATTGAGACTTTAGGCCCCAATGATCCTTTGTCAGGGAAGTTGTTTGGTGTCAAACCGCACTTTAATTTTTGAAGGGCTCATCCCTATGCCCTAATCCAGGAGTCACCAATCTTGGTCCTGGAGGGCCGGTGTCCCTGCAGGGTTTAGTTCCAACTTGCTTCAACACACCTGCCTGGATGTTTCAAGTATATCTAGTAAGAGCTTGATTAGCTTGTTTAGGTGAGTTTGATTAGGGTTGGAGCTAAAATCTGTAGGACACCAGCCCTCCAGGAACAAGTTTGGTGAACCCTGCCCTAATCCTTTCGATGCTCTGGAGGGTAAACCCTTTGAAGATATTATGACATAGGAATGAGCCCTTCCAGGTGGAATACACACAGTTTACTAAAGTTTCTAAACCTGCTCTGAACAGGACCATCCTGCATAGATTTGTTTCTAACTCATTAAACTGTAAGTAGTTAATAAAGGCCTTCAGGCTCAGCAATATCTAGACTAAGGGTATGCAAACTCTTTGGTGCTAGCAGAGCGTAGCTTCAATCATAATCAAGCAAATCTGCCTAAAGATTTTAGTGCTCCTGAAGTTCTAGTTTAACCTCTTTATATGTGCGTCATTTGGACTGAAGCTAAACTGCAGGAAAATGAATCCGGAGGACCATATTTGAGGCGTGGGCTTTAACATGTCTGTACCAGGGGTGATCCTAAAGGTCCCACAGAGTCCTACAGAGTTTAATTTTAGCCAGTCCAAACACAACTGCCTCGAAGTTTGTAGTGAATCTATGTAGCTGCTTAAATTAGGACTTCAGCTTCAATCTGCCAACACCTGTCCAAGAACAGATTTGGATAGCCCAACTTTAAACCAATGGTTTTCAGTCCTGATCCTGCAAACTTTGTGATCTGCACATTCTGTACGGTCACTTAATGCATCTTTTTCTGATTGGATAGCTATCTGATTTGTGAAAATGGTTAAATGTACATTTGACCACAATAATGCGTCTCAGCTAAACAGATATGATTCCGATCTTCAAATTCCGCACATAGATGGATACCTGTCCCATGGATCTGCCCATTTTATTATTTACAGAATCATATGCTCTGTACCTTATTTGACATACAAATTATTCACTACTCTCCCAATTATTTTTGACATTTTGGGAGAACTAAAATGTACATACATTTGATCTTGTATATGATCTCAACAACCAGATGCATTTATACCTGTCCCGTTTCATCCCAAACCACCTCCTGAAGTGGTTTGAGGGATCGGATTTACATGTCTCTCTATAACTATTTGCATCTTAAATGCGTCTGATCAAAAAAAGCACATTAAGTGACCAGATGTAAAAAACCCCTATGTCTTGCTTAAATGAGCCCTTCAAGTCCTAAATTAATAAGCCGGTGATGTGAATCAATTGTGTTAAAAATGAGACATTTGAAGAGCTGTAGGTTCCTTGTACCATGATTGAAAATCATTGCTCTTGGTAGAACCAGTAGGCTACAGTCCAGCATTAACAAATTAAACAAACAGCATTTTTTTCTCATTTAATTGTTTAGGGAATGTAGCAGATTGTTTGGTGAGGATGGCATGTCTCTGAAGGTGTTTCTTAAGAGGACGGCACCATTCTCCATCTTGTGGACACTGACTAACTACCTGTACCTGTTAGCTCTGAGAAAACTAACCGCCACAGATGTCTCAGCACTCTACTGTTGCCACAAGGCCTTTGTCTTCCTCCTGTCATGGATCGTCCTCAAAGATCGTTTCATGGGTGTGCGGGTAGGTAGAATATGTATTTTCTTCTGCATTTTCTTAGGTTCAGTGATAAAAATGACCACCAATAGCAAATCAGAACGGAACTGATTTTCTTTTTATTGAATATGTCCAATCATCATGACATTGTCTATAATAGAAGATGTCCACAAAAACGTTTAAGTCAAAATCTGTGTAAATATTACAGAAAGGCAATACATATATTCATTTAGGTCTAGAATCATTATTTTCGATGATAAGAACAAGATGCGCAGCTAGGATTTTTAATTGGCTCCTAAAATATTTCCACAGGATCTAGTATACAGATGATTGTAAAGATACAAGTGTCGTGGCATATTTTTTACAGATAGCAAATATAATTGGTGGGTAAATGAATTATTCAAGTTTTAAAAAGCTCGGCACTGAAAGACGCTGCTATTTTATGTCAGAATTCTTGACTTTTACTGCACTTGATGTCTCAGAGATCTGGACTCTTTAGTATCTGCGTACTACTTCCAGCAAACATGCTTCTATTTTCAACTATCCATCTCAATTATTAAAGCAGACAAGTGTAAATCAAAATCATACCCTGAAGGGCACTGAAGCATGTTGTAGTTTGACTTCAGTAGTGTTTAAGGCTTTATTGAATAATAATGTCTTTGTAATTGTTCCTCTAAGATTGTTGCTGCCATCATGGCTATCACAGGAATTGTGATGATGGCGTATGCTGATGGTTTCCATGGAGATTCCTTTATGGGTGTGGCCTTAGCCGTTGGCTCCGCCTCCACTTCTGCGCTCTACAAGGTCAGTGCTGTTCATGCTCAGCTGAAAATACTGATTCCCAGAAGACCCTTGATGACCATTAAGACTCCTTTAGTATTGGTATGCTTTCCTTCAAAACCTCTTTGTACCACTCAGGTGCTGTTTAAGATGTTCCTCGGCAGTGCCAATTTGGGCGAGGCTGCTCATTTCTTCTCAACAATGGGCTTTTTCAACCTCATCTTCATTTCCTGTGTTCCCCTCATCCTGTACTTCACCAGAGTGGAGCACTGGGGATCCCTCTCCTCTTTACCCTGGGGTTACCTCTGCGGGGTGGCTGGCCTTTGGCTAGGTAACATGAATTTATGAAAACTACTTTTAACCACACTTCATTTTAAGGTATAATTCTCACTATTAATAACTAATTAACTGTGACATTTAGCTCAATAAACTTTAATTTGATGCAGTAATTAATGAAGTAGTAGTTGGGTTTAGATATTGGGTAGGATTATGGATCCAGGGTATTAATAAACAGCAAATACTGTATCTTAAGAGTAGGCAGGAAATGAACCACTATTTAATAGTGAGATTTGGTCCCTATACTAAAGTGTTACCTAATTTTATGTTTTCACACCTAGGGGTTGTTTGATTTGTTCTGGAACAGGCATTCAGTTTTGCAGTTTCTCCTTAGTTTGGTTGGCTTTCACAACATTCTAAATAAATAAATCAAAACATTTTCATACAACTGGGCTTTCCTACCTCAGAAACTTACCATGCTTCCTTGAATTATTGTCAAAATCACTCGCTTTTTGTAACACTGTAACTAGAAATTATTTTTGAGCATTTAGATCAGTGGTCTTAAACTCAAACAGATTTTAGCTTCAACCACCTCCAAACCACACCTGCTTGAGTAGTCTTGAGTACCTTGGCTGCATCCGAAACCACCTACTATGCAGGTATACTATAAGGTACTGCATTTGAATTGAAACATACTAATCTGCCGTTAGAAAAGTACGCTCTATATAGTATGAATGTGAGTAGTATGACTAACTAGAATGTATTACATTCGCCATTTTGTCATGATCACGTGACCTGATCATGGGAAAGCGTAGCGAGCATCGGATGGGCACTTCAGAATCATGCTGGAAGTAGTAAGTCATCCGGGTACTTCTTGCATACTGTTCAAGTTCAATTCAATTCAAATTTTCTGAATTCGGAGATACTACTCGGCTCACATACTGTTTTTAGCATACTATATAGTATGAAATTACGCAATTTTAGACACAGCCTTTGATTAGTTGGATCAGCTGTGCTTGATTAGGGTTCGAGCAAAACTGTGCAAAGCTGCAGCCCTCCAGGATTTTTAGACCCATGATTTAGATCAAAGTAACACTGTTGGGGGGCTTAATTAGCATTTACTTCAGAGTAGGGTCCAACTTACACAATGTGCTTTGACTAAGCATCCCATACAATATACTGTACGTATACTTAAATAGACAGAAAACTAATGTTAGCACTGTGGAGCTGTGTTCTCTTTTCACCTTGGATGATTTGGAATGGCAAAAGTTGTCATAGGTGATTTAGCCTTCCGTTTTTAGCGCTAGAACACAACTCATACAATGACATTATGTTTTCATTATCCCAACCCATGACTTGTCCTTCAATTGCCGACTGAATACCTGATGTCACTGTCGGCTAGCTTACATCAGTTCCTAGTGACAGGAGTTGTCACCATACTAGAATTACCATTGAAGTGCTCAACAGAAGTGACTGTGATTGGCCATGAAGGTAATCAGTTCACCCAACTCAATGCTGTTTGAGTGTAAACACAGATACAGCGATCGCTCATCAGCAACAAACAGACAAGCCCGCTGATCGAAGGGATCAATGTCCCTGTATCTGTGGTTACAATGCTCAAATATTAGCGGGAAATTTTAAAACATTCAGTATCGGTTAGTATCGAATTCCAGTATTGTGACATCATTAGTGCAAGGTAAATTTGAAAATTGCCCAGGGGTATATTTAGTTTTCAAGGGACTGGCCTTGATCATATAACTTAATTCCTATAAATACTTGGGTAGTTATACCCGTAGTTCAAGTCAGAGTATGTTATAGGATTCTCCTTATATCAGGCTAAATAAACAACTTTGTCGCGGTTATAATGCACCTTATGACTTTCAGTAGGAATCAAACCTTCATGTATATTTTTTGACAAAAGTAGCTTTGGCCCAATCCCAATTCTATTTTTGTACCCCTACCTCTTTCCTTTCCCTCGGCCCTTAATACCGAGTGTGAAGGGGAAGGGCTTTAAACTTTACCCCTAACAATTGGGACAGCCCTACAGCACCTGCACACATCATCATATGTCATCACAATCTCATGCTTCAAAAGAGATTGACAATCGCGACTGTTGGAGTTTTTCCAGTTGCGTTAATTTTTTTTGGTATTTATTCTTCAGGAAATCACTGAATGCAATAATATCATGTTATCATAATGATATAATGTGGCAATAAGATTAAAACTATACTGCTCATTTGCAAAGTGGCTATATTCATCAATTTAAACACACAAAAAACAACATTGATATTATAGCAGACACTGTAAAACAGGGGTGTCAAACTCAGTTCCAAAAGGGCCGCAGCCCTGCACAATTTAGTTCCAACCCTGCTCCGACACACTTACCTGTAGGTTTCAAACAAGCCTGAAGGACTCAATTAGTTTGATCAAGTGTGTTTAATTAGGGTTGGAACTAAACTGTGCAGAGCTGCGGCCCTTTTGTAACTGAGTTTGACACCTGTGCTGTAAAGGTCATTCCCAGCTTGACTTTTCTGACTGGGTATTCGAGTTTCATTCAGTTTCAGAATGTTGTTGGACTACTATACAGGAGTTATTATTAGGTATTATGGAGAGCAAAATTTAGAGTTTTTTTATTTTAGTGGTTTTTTTTTTAAAGCATGACTGTAAAACACTTAAATATATTAAAATATATACTTGTTTGTTGTAAAAATTCATAATAATGATAAAAAAGCCATGCTGCCATTGTGGCAGATGTATTCTGGGAAATTTTCTTACCCCTTGGTTTTTATGTGTGGTCATAAAAAATCTCCGTTCTAAGGGGTATCTAGCCCTTCAACTTAGCCCTACACTTTTAAGCTAAAGAGAATCGGGACAGGGTAAAAAGGGGGAAGGGCTAAGGCAGGGCTATTCAATCAGTTTGTCATGGGGGTCAGTTCATGAAAAGCATCCCAGACGAAGGGCCGGAGAGATATAACTTGCTATATAAGTGATGACACAACTGCATTTAAGAGCCAATATGCTGTATATTTTTGCTCCTTAAGACACCCACGTTGGCTTTTTCTACATTAAAATGTTAATATATTGTATTTTGAAACTACATAATATTACTGCATTGTACAATAGACTTTTTTTTTTACAAACATACAAATGTTGTATTTCAGAGCACAACAAAAGCAGTGCATTGCTGAAGTAGGCTTCTTCTACATTCAAACACGTTCATATGTTATGTTTTGAACTGCATAACAATTAGGGATGCAACAATTATAGATTTTGGTTGTACAATTATATAGTCTGAAGAATAATCATGTTTTCACTGTTATCACGTATAATGTAAATTCAAACTTTATATTAGGTAGGTAGCTATTAAGATTAACTGTTGTTGCCATCTGCATTCATGCATACATAATCATTTTAATAATAATTCATCCAACATATCGTTTGTTTACATTGCACTAAAAGGCACGCACAAATCTCACCGTGAAATGTTTTCTACCGTGCTCGCCCAGAAAGACGCAAGCGCGTCGCTCCGCTGGCGCCCGCATATTGTCATATATTCTTACATTAGAAATAACAAACTTGCAAGCGGAAAAGACGTGATATGGGAACGGCCGCTGCGATAGTAAATCCTGTGTGCGTGCGTATTAGCCTCGGTGTACTTCAAACTTAAAACTGGCGCACAGACAGTGCATTCCGTGCAACAGAAATGCGGCTTAGAGAAGACTTTACGATTAATAAACTGTGAGGAATTAAATCGCAGTTAATAGTGAAATCGACTAATCGTTGCATCCCTATTATCGATATCAGTGCATTGTACAAATAGCCTTTTCTACAAACATGTTTTCAGCTGCCCGCACCACTCGCTTATGATGACTCACGCTCTGGTAAGCCTTTAACTGCAGCTCGTGCTGTTATTGAACAGACGCACATAACTTCATAACTATAGCGGCCATTTGTCGACTGAACTAAATTTATTTTTGATGTCTGTCACACTGTTTGGAGGGCCGGAACAAAGTGCCTCGGGGGCCGGATTCGGCCCGCGGGCCGCCAATTGAATAGCCCAGGGCTAAGGGGTAGAATTGGGATTGGGCCTCAATCTGGCTATTTTAATTAGATATTCCAGTTAAATCTATGATTCGTATTCAGAGTTGTTATCAAAAGTGCTTACAGTACTTGTAATAGTTCATCATTCATTATAAAAAAGCCTGCTTCATTAATCTATTTGCTTGAGCTGCTTATTTTTACAGCAACCAAACAACTTTAGAGATAATTTTCGCATTTAAATGATATTTCACTGTTTTATTTGCTGCAGATCCAATTCATTCATAAATGCCTAAATGAACTGAACTAAAGAATAAATGCACCCACCGCTAAAACAAATGCTAACCAGCAAAACCTTGAGTATTGTCTCAGTAAGCAACAGTAGGCTAACCAAAGCTTAGCTTAGCAAAAAAAAGAACCTCAGTTTGTACAAAGTTTCTGGTGATAAATCCTGCTGACAGTTTACCACTTCATCACTGCTGGTTCAGATGTAAGCCAGCCTTGCAGTGGATCAAATACAGTACATCTTTTAAGTACACTTCCAAGATTGCTTTAAGTGCTTAGTAAGTGAGCGAAATCAGGTTAGAATCATCAATTTACACCTTGAAGAAGCATTTCTTAGACACCCAATATGTGCTGCATCAGACAGTGTAGAGCATAATAGTAACGGATCCACTTATATTTACAGTATATTTGAGCTGAAGCGGACCTCCGTGTCTCTAGGGGGGGTTAAGGATAATATGATATCCATTAACCTTTGTCACTTGTCCAAATATCATGAATTTTGCTGCATATTTGACCACTCGGAGAGGATTGAATGACAAAAGATGCTATATGACTAAAGCATAACACTAAGTTCATGTTTCTTATTTACTCTCTCTCTCTTTCTCTCCCTCTCTCTATCTCTCTCCCTCTCTCTCTCTCATAGTATTTAACATCCTGGTCAATGTAGGAGTGGTGCTCACATATCCTATCCTCATATCCATTGGGACGTTACTCAGTGTTCCAGGCAATGCAGGTGCGTGAGTCAATTTTGTATGCCATTAGGCAGTAGACAATGCATGATGATTTATTAGTTATAAGTATATATGTATGAACTGTATTTATAAACTTGCATCCACACACATACACATCGTTCTGCCAGAAATAGCCATCACAAAGAGGCACTGTGGTCCCAATATGTAACAATATTTTGGTTGGCTGTGATTAAAATAATACTTGTACTAATAGGCCCAAACATATTCCCTTACAGCACCAACTGCTTGACTCAATGAAACAGAATGTATTCATGCTGTCATGTTGATTATGCCAAATTCTAATCATACACTGGGAAAAGCGATTAGTTCTTTCATTCATTTTTTTTCTTTCAGCTAAGTCCCTTATTTATCCGGGGTCACCACTGCAGAATGAACCACCAACTATTGCAGCATATGTTTTACACGGCGGATGCCCTTCCAGCCAGAACCCAGTACCGGGAATACACTCTAACATTCACACACTACAGCCAATTTAGTTCATCCAGTTCACCTATAGCGCATGTTTTTAGACTGTGGGGGAAAGCAGTTGAAACTGGGTTGTTGCTAGATCGGATACGTTTGTGGCCGAAAGTTAACAAGAATTCTTTATAGTTTATTAAATTTCTAAATTTATTGTATTTTATTAACAGTAATACAGTAATGTAAAACTGTAGTTGTACCAAGTATTATTTATGTTATCTATTAAATTGCCCAATAAATTGTATTTTTTAACGCCTAGCCCTACCCCAACCCTAAACTCAACTGTTACAGTACTGTAAAAAAATTAATTATCATTATTTTTATTTAATGTTTTTATTACAACCAATAGAAACAAAAAAAAAACTGATAGAAGTATAGTACAAGCAATACAAATATTACTTTTTGCAACAAGAGAAATGTAACAATTTTAAAAGAAATTTTAAAAAGGTAAAGCAAAAGACAAAGAGAGAGAAAAAGAAACAAACAAAAAAATAAAATAAGGGCAAATGACAAAAATTAAAACAAATAATGCAAAAGTGGCGGATCTGTTCGGCGAAATATCTGACTGCGTGTCACCGCATCCCTAAGGACTGTTTGGCGAAATATTTGACTGCATGTCACTGCATATCAAACGACTGAAACTATGTGAAGTTTATTCATAAACTAATTTTGAGAGGATCACATGCTTATGATTTATCACGGCCAGTCTCGCATTTGCTAATCACTAATCTTCCAATCATATGAGCCCTAAGCCACTATAAATAGCCTCAGTTTTCAGTTCACTTTATCTTCGTTTGGAAGAAACCCCCCTCCTCCCCTATTCTCCTCCTTTACCTGTGATTGGGCGGCACGGCGGTCCAGTGGTTAGCACTGCGAGCCACACAGCAAGAATACTGCCGGCCCTAGTTCCATAGGACCGGTGGGTGTTTCTGTGGGGAGTTTGTATGTCCTCCTCGTGTCCGCGTGGGTTTTCCCCGGGTTCTCCGGTTTCCTCCCACCATCCAAAGACATTCAACATACATAACAATTAAGCTTTTCTAATCCCTTACGTTCCCTTAGCTACAGCAGCAGGGGAGTTCTGAGATCCACTGAGCTCGGGCACCCTTCTTGCTCTGCCAACGGGAGGAAGCCCCGGGCTCGAGGAGCCCTTGAGCTCGGGGCTCTCTCCCGGGACAGCATGCCAAATAAGCTTTGTAAATCATCAGCTAAGTGTGATCTCTTGAAATAAGTAGAGAAATCTCTACTGTGCTGCTGAGTGAGAGAGCGCTTCTCACTGAACAGCGCAGCAGCGATGACGTAAGTGCCGAGACCCATTTGTGGTGTGAGCTATTTGTGGTAGCTCATCTACTTTAAGGTTCTAACTGTTGTCTTTGTATTAGCTAAACTGTCCAGTCATTCTCCTCATTAATCTGGCATCAATAGGGATTTTTTCTCTTTTTCATTCTGACTTTAACTTCAAAATTAATCAAAAGCAAACATAAAATGCTTATAATTGCGCTGTCAAAAAAAAAGATCAATTACTCAACTTTTATTTATGTAGCTCTTTACTACAACCAAGGTTGACCAAAGTGCTTTACACAAGTAAAAGCAAATTATACAACACATTAAAAAAGCAGACTATGCAAAACAATACTAGAAATATCAATAAAATACACAAACATTAAAACATAACGAAGTGTCAGTGCTATGCATTAAAGCCAATTTAAACGAGTGGGTCTTAAACTCGGCTTTAAAAGTGGCAGGTCAGTGATTGCACGAAGCTCAGTAGGAAGGGTATTCCAAAGTTTAGGACCTGCCACTGCAAAAGAGCGATCAACCTACTGCTTGTATCTTAACCGAGGGACTTTAAGCAGAAGTTTGTCAGCAGATCGCAAAGCTCTGCTGGGTTTGTCAATGTGCAAAATTTTGGCATGAATAAGTAGGAGCAAGATCATTAAAAACAAACATCAAAAGTTTAAAATCAATTCTAAACTTAAATAGCATTACATTTACTGACGAGTAAAAAAAAAAAGATCAAAGACGTTTAATGGTATTCTTAAGCCAGATGTTCTTCCCATTCTCACGTTTTACAGATTGTCTTGTCTACATCTGCATCAAGGTGCTGCCATGTTCAGTTTGGTTTATCAGATAACAGCTTTAACTAGCAGTTGTACAGATGTACCTAATACAGCATCTGGTAGATGGGTGTTATCATAAATTATTAGGATGATAATTAGGATTATTCATATTAGTTTAATATTATCACAAAAAAACAACTTGTAAAAAAACCCAAATTAAATTAATCTAAAAATATTACTGACAAAATTAAGATTTTGGTGCAAAATAAAACTTGGAGATGTTAATGATGTTAAGGCATACTGTATTATAAGTCAGGTCTTCTTAACTCAAGGCAAACAACCAGACTATAATAAAGGGGTGGCGAGGTTGCCAAGACGACAGTAAATGCCTTAAGAGGGTGCTTGTCTTGTTCCTTGTCTTTCAAGGTCAGTTTGTTATATTCCACTTGGCTTTTCTTTACACAGTCTTCTATGATTCATTTGTGATTTATGCTGCATTGCTTATGGTAGACTGCGTAATGCATTTGAATGGGATTGTAAATGTAAATTCACAGTTACACTCTTTGATATGAAATAATTTCTTTTTTAGAGCCATTAATGAGGAACAAACGCTATTATAATTGGACTTTATGAGCACTAATTTTAATACTAAAAAGGTTGTGTATTTTAAAGTCATCCAAACGGCTCTCTCCTGGAAATCTTAAAGCTCATGCTGAAGATTTTCACAGTAATGAATCTTCTTTTACTGGAGTTAATTGGTTGTGTGGCAAAGAGGACTTTGGTGATGTAGACAGTGTGGGCACAAGGTCACATCTGAATTATAAGAACTCACTCCTGTGTAGTTAAATAATTTTATAGAAATTGCCGGTAATCATTGAACTGTTAATAATATTAAATAATTGCACAGGGTTTTTTGTGCTAAGCCTGATTAATCTCTCATTTATGCCTAATTAGGGACCGAGCACCGAACGGTGCAAGGCCCTATTGGAATTGCTCCGTTTATTAGGGACCGAGCACCGAACGGTGCAAGGCCCTATTGGAATTGCTCCGTTTATTATTAGGGACCGAGCACCGAAACGGTGCGTAGGCCCTATTGGATTTGCTCCGTTTATTAGGGACCGAGCACCGAAACGGTGCGTAGGCCCTATTGGAATTGCTCCGTTTTTTATTATTATTATTATTATTATTATTATTCCGCCCCCTATCGGGGCACTTTTGAGGGTCTAAACATGCCCGAAAACTCATGAAAATTTGCACACACACCAAACCCGGTGTAAATAGCAGGTTGATATGGGTCTCGGAAGTGGGCGTGGCAAAATGACTCGACAGCGCCACCTAGAAAAATTAAACGGACGAGCCCCCAATCCACGAATCACACACATGCACGAAAATTGGCAAACACCTCAAACACGCCAAAACATACGAAAAAGTCTCTTGGAGCCATATCTCAAACCCAACAGGAAGTCGGATATTTTTGACTTCCTGCGGCGAAAAAGTGGCGTTTTTGCCATTTCCAAGCGTTGTATTTTAACGAACTCCTCCTAGGGATTTTATCCTATCGACACCAAAATTGGGTTTTGTCATCTAAAGGCCTTGGCGATGGTAAATTGCGAAGCTTTAGAGTTTTCGTCGATGGGCGTGTCCGTGGCGGCCTCGCAAACTTTGACAATTCGCCACAAAACAGGAAGTCGTTATAACTCAGGCATGCATTATCGAATCTGCCTCAAAATTCACACGCTTGATAAGAGTCCTGACCTGAACACGTTTACATGCCAATATCCAGATACAGTTATAGCGCCACCTGCTGGCCACAGGAAATGACATGTTTTACACTGTAACAAACTCCTCCCACAAATTCTTTCGAATCAGCACCAAATTTGGGTTGTGTTATCTGAAAGCTCTAGCAATGATATATTGAGAAGATCTAGAGTTTTCGGAGAGGGGCGTGTCCGTTGCGCCATGACAAACCTCAACGCTTCGCCATGGAAAAGGAAGTCCTCATAACTCAACCACACAAAGTCCGGTCAGCCTGAAATTTCACATGGTTGATAAAAGTCCTCCCCTGAACACATCCACATAACAATATTGAAGTGGGCGTGGCAAAATGACTCGACAGCGCCACCTAGAAAAATTAAACGGACGAGCCCCTGATCTACGAATCACGCACATGCGCGAAAATTGGCACACACCTTAAACACGCCAAAACATACGAAAAAGTCTCTTGGAGCCATATCTCAAACCCAACAGGAAGTCGGATATTTTTAACTTCCTGCTGCAAATAAGTGGCATTTTTGCCATTTCCAGGCGTTGTATCTTAACGAACTCCTCCTAGGGATTTTATGCTATCGACACCAAAATTGAGTTTTGTCATCTAAAGGCCTTGGCGATGTTAAATTGCGGAGCTTTATAGTTTTTGTCGATGGGCGTGTCCGTGGTGGCCCCGCAAACTTTGACGATTCGCCACA